TGAGTGACCTTCTTTGCATTTTCTTGTTCATTTGCTCTCACGATGTCTCAATAGAGATTAAATCTCCTCTAGAAAAATATAGAAATGACATAATACAAACTAGACCTATTCAGGTGGGGTAGGGACCAAACAGAGCAAAACTGCATCCTGGTCTTACTTAAATATACAAGAAGCCTGTTTCACTGGAGCCATTTAGGACTGAATTATATGACCAATACATTAATGGGATATTGGGAATTTACTGTGAAAGTCTATTCTAGCCAATTAAAAAAAGAGTCTTCAAAGAAAGGGTTAATTCCAGTTCAGAGAAAGAAATATGAGCTGTTCTTAGAAATAGTTCTTATTGGATCCTTAGGTTCAAAGTGGAGCTGGATTTAGACATTCAAATGGAAATCTGGTAAATCTGCAGTCTTGTGTAGATCCCATAATGGCAAGCAGTGAGCTACAAAAAAGATAAAAATTATTTATGTGGAAATGGGAAGAAAGAAATTACTTCTTGCTAGTTGAGAAACCAGAGGCTAAGACTGTGGTTTGGTATCACAGGTTGTTGAGTTTAAGCCTAGGTTGTGAACTGCTTGCAGAAAGTCTAAGACATTCTTCACTCCAGTTGTGTGAAGCTTCCGCTGAGTCCCACTGAGAAACCTTTCCAACTAGCATCAGATATCTCATTTACAATTCTCTCAGTATAACTTTCTCATAGATAAGATCTCCATTCAATTGCCAGATGGCTAGCTGCAGCCAACCCAGAGCTAGCTGTCTAATGGACCCTGACTGAGAAGGTTGAAGGCTGGGCTGAACCAGAATCAGAACTGGGTTTTGGATCACAAGTGCTAAGAGATGGGAGAACCAATTCCACCCCATTTTTGACCAAAGAGGATAGAGTATACTTTGAGTATTTCCTTTGAGGGGACCAATTCTATGGGCCCTACCTCCAAGCAGTCAGAAATGACCTGAAGCATTGCAAGGTTGTTTGCGAGATTTTTTGGAAACTAGTGATCTGAGAAAGCAGTGTTTAAGCTTTTGATTGAATTCTATTATGACGCTTTGCTTAGTGCCCTACTTCCATGGAAGAACTAAGGGAGGGGGTGATGAGGAATTCAGGGTGGCTTCCTCCTGCATATACATGCGCCCCTTCCAACTGGTTTCTGTGAAATGATCAGGAGAAATCAAGCAATGCCTTAGATACAGCGAGAGCCCAGGATTGGCTTGTTGCCTTTGTGTTTTTCCATTCCCAGATACAGTAGGCGAGAACAATATGGTAACTAGCTCCTTGGAACCAGCTCAGAGACACTTATGTGTAATCCAGTGCTGCTTAACAGAGTAGAGTGTGATGTTTAACTATGTGATGCATTGGGTATAATAATATATATATATATATAAAGTAATAAATGAATGTATTATCATGGGCCCCATCAACATTGCCACTGATGCAGTTTGAAACTGCATTATATGGTCAGTGTAAACTCCTATAATGCAGTTTAACTGCATTGAAATATATAATATCAGTCTACACTGACCTTATAATGCAGTTTCAAAGAACATTATGTGGTAGCATAGATGGGGCCTAAGAGAGAGATGGAAATCCATGGCCCATGAAGGATATCTGTATGCCTTTTCCACGTCTGAAAATCCCCAGTTTCCAATATCTTTGGGAAATACATTGACAAAATGGAGAATTTTGTCTACCAGCATGCATAATTCTTGTCTAAAACAAGCTTCTCCCCATAACTTTAGGCTCAAAATGCAGTTTTGGAAGGCGTAGGTACAGCCCATGAGCTTCCAAAATGTGGGGAATAAGGATGGTGCAGCTCCCTCCATAGCTGCTTATCCTAGTTTTAAAGAAGTAAAATATTAGCTAGTGCATTAGTATATATCTTTAATCATAATTTTTGAGAGAGAAAATATCTGCTTCCATATTATTTGTTAAAAAAACTCTGCCCTTTATGTGCACATTTTTCTTCCTTTCCTTTGCTGTTCCAAAGTTTCTTCCTGATTGGAAGTGTTTTTGGTCCTTTTTTTTTTTGCATTTCAGGTTATTTTAGTAAAAAAAAGTGTGAAACACTTAGAAGAAAAACTCAGTATGTTTTACATAAATAATAATGTTTTGAAAAATGAATTTGCCACAATAAAGTTCTGAAACATAAAGAATCTTTGGGTGGTAAGCTATGCTCTCTTTGGGCAGGTCTTGATAGGGATGTGGGTTGCTACTACATCCCTAATATGAGCTCACTCAATGAAGAATGGTAAATGGTCAATAAGTTCAGTTGTTAGGAGAGGAGTAAGGAAGAAAGCAGTGCCTGAATCTACTTTCCTGCTTCCAAAGCTGATCACTGTAATCAAAGTTAAATATGCTAATCTGTGAAGGCTGTAAGTATATTGGAAACCTGTTGCTGGTTGTCATGAACTTGGTGCTCTTATTTGCGTGCAATACTTGTCTTTGGGACTCTATGCAAAAGAAGGTGGTAACGGTTAAATGCAAATTGTTATTTGGAAATGGAACATTTGAAAAAGAGAAAAATTGCCCCCGAAGTGGATCATGCAATCACATTATGTTTTTTTAAATATTAATACAAGGTTAGATTTTGCTCAGCCCCACCAGTGAGATAAGGTTTGAATTGCTTCTGGCATAAATAATTAGTCCTATTTCAGTAACATTAGCATTCCATTTCATAATAATTTATGAAGAGTTTGAAGTGATTAGTAGATATTATAACATGTATTACAAGCATATGTAGAGCACATTTCCAGCTGGCTGACAGCGTATTGGGGGGAAAAGGAAAGGAAAAATTAAATACAATTAACATGCAAGCTATTGATAAACTGAATTCCATCTATACATCTATAATGGGAGAATGACTTAAGGCATCTCCTAATGATCCATAGCTTTGAATTAGTGGCAGATGATGTTTCCATATAAAGCGTGAAAAATACAAAAGCACAGCATCTGTGCTGGTTAAAGTGAATGTGGACTTGGCTGCTTTCCTAGAATCTTGCATGCAGATAGAGAGGCAGTGAAGAAAGAACAGAAGATTGCAAGACCTTTTCTGTTCAGCAAGAAAAGAACAATGCCAATATTTAAAGATTACTTACTCCTCTATTCCTCTATTTTAAGATTGTAAGTCTTTCAAATCAAAGCATTTTTGAAAGTCACTACTTGAAATTTTTAGGTTCCATTTTCTTGGAGTCACGTTATTGATTGTAGAGTATTTTCCAAACAAGATCTGAGGTATCGGCAAATGGTGCCCCATCCCCCTTTTTTGATTTTGACACTTTGGCCAACTAGGGGTTATACAAATTTAAAAAATGTGGAAGGAGACATCTAGTGCATCCTTGAATCAAGACTCCATCCCAGTGTGCAACAATAGCTGCTCAGTGCAGAGCTGATAGGCTATGAATGTGCAACCAGGCTTTTCTCAGCTGCTCAGTGTAAGAGTAGCTTACACTGGGGTGGAGGCTATTCTTTCTTTCCCTAATGCTCGTGTGCAACTAGAACAAACCCTGCTGCACTCCTGCAATCCCACAGTACTTGGGGAAACAGAAGGACAGAGTAAACAGCCCTTACTGCCTCACCTTTTCCTATTATTCTACTGGTGGAAATTTAATGTTCCACTAACACAATGTTTCTAATATCTTTGGAAAATACATTGGCAAAATGGAGAATTTTGTCTACCAGCATGCATAATTCTTGTCCAAAACCAGCTTCTCCCCATAACTTTACTATACTGCAGCCATTGAATTCTTACTCATTTTCATCTTCATATGAACTGTGGCATTTCTTTTCTCTACAGAAGTAGAAGAACATGGTTCAATTCTGTATGGCTTAGCATATCATAATAATTCTGCATGGAGATATACTGTACAGCCTGAGGCCTCATGCAGTCATTCTATGTCTTGTATGGACTAGGAAGGATTAGAGAAACTTATGTCCCCATAGCTGGTTGCAAAACAATTACAACAACACTGAAATCTATTGTGTCCTCTATGCTTGAAGTGAAAAGACATCAACACTTGTATATAGAAAAGTCAAGGACAGGGGAACCCTGTAGTATATGCCTGCTGTCTTGTTTTTCACCCGTGTTTCCTAGATCTATGTAACTCAGAGTGTTTTGTTTCTTGCCTTCATGTAAAGGTCACCTCCCCTTCTTTCCAGATGTCTTTAATGTGTTTTATTCTTCTTTGTCTGAGAAGGGAGCACCATAAGGCTTCTCCGCATCAAGATGGCATGCATGGTAGTCAGCATTAGGAACTCTTATATCAAAGTTAGGTAACTTTCTTCTGTCTAGCTACTCTTTCATTGGAGATGTATTAACATACTTGCAACAATAAAGTAAGTTTTTTACTTTTAAAAACTTTACCAGAGGATTCTGCATATTTTCTTTCCTGTTCCCTACCATAAGATCATACACAGAACAGGCTATGCAACACTCAGTTTTGCTAGATGCCAAATATCTGTACTCTAGAGATGTCAGTATTACTTTGATTCTACCAACTCCACAAGGAATGGCTATAGGTAGGGAAAAGCACTTCAGATGTGGTACAGCAAGTCTGGTGGTAGGATTCGTTTGATGTAAGGAGGGAAGGAATGTCAAGCTCTGCAGCACCCACAAAATGGACATATGCAAGTGCAAGGAAATTGTACACCAGCATTTGCCATTAACAGGATGTCAAACAATGTGTGAAAACAAGCAGTCAGATATAAACAACTAACAACTCAATATATAGTAGCAGAATAGTATTGTGATTTTTTTTTGGGGGGGGGAATCACATGACTTATTCAACTTGAGATGTCATGGGTAAACCAGTTTCACAAACAAGGTTGTCTCATCTGAAGTCCAGTGTGCAGAAGGAAATAAGTGATGGGCTATTCAGGCTTTTCTCTTGTTTCTGCTCTAAAAATCATGATCAATCAATGTAGATAAAAGAGAGATTTCACAATCTTGGAGCTTGGTTCACAGGACATAAAACCTACCTAATTAAAGGATGAAATTAAAACCACTTCATAGAATGTATAATATAATCTTTATTTTTTTCTAATCTCTTGGAAAGTTACATAACAACCGTGCTTTAGTTAGGACACCATTTATAGACATTTAAAATGCATCTTAATTTATAAATATTTTACATTTGGTCCATAGAATGTTGCAGTTTTCTAAATTATACTGTACTCTCTCTTTTTTAAAACAGGCTCTATATATATTTTAGAATGTGTATATATTACATATATATTTTATATAGAGATAAATTTGCTTGGTGTTTAGAGAATAATTCATTATTGCAAAAATCATATATGATCATATATTCTTTCTTTTTTAAGGGCAAATACTACAAAAAGATACAGCTATTCACAGTTTACACACAGTTCTACAACACTATTTTTGTGCTATATATGATAAGTTTGTGCAGAATTTTGCTAAATAGCAAATCTGTCTAACATCTGTCATAAGTGTTCTACAATCAAACATTGAATACTGCATTTTCCTTGGAACAACATGGGACTTGGTTACATAAACAATAAAGAGAAAGTTTGAATTTGTACGTTAAGTCTAATGGAATTCACAGTTATAATGTATAATGAAGCATGTGAAGTATGACAAGTTTTCTTGTTCTTCTAAGCCCTGAAAATCTACAAGATGTTTGGATTTATTTGCAAGTTCATCTATAGACATTTAGCATGTATCATAGATTTCTGAATATGTTACAGTTGACCTACTGTATGAAACAGTTTAGAACCTACTAAACATTACTCTTTTTATGAGATTTTTTATTTGTTAGGTTGAAATATATGTATATATATATTTTCTACAATAATGTGCTTGACATTCTGAGAATAATACCTTATTGCAAGAACATATGTTTGTCACCTTCAGACAAAAACAACAAAAAAACCCAACATTCACAGTTAACAGGTTGTTCACAGAGAAGTTCTACATAAAGTGTGTGCTATCTAACATAGTACGTTGCACAAGGTTTTGCTGAAAAGCATGTTTCATTGCACAGTTCTGTCACAGTCATTTAAAATCAAATTATCACAGACCACTTTCCCCATGATTCTCACTCTCTTCTCTCATAGCTGCCAACAAGAATTGCCATTATGGACTCTTCAAGTTTGCAATTTTCTACACAGGAAAAGCCCTATTAGCCAGAGAAGCCTGTGTGGAAACTGCAGACCCGAGCCCAGCGTGACACTGCATATGGCAAGACCATTTAGTCACATCACCACCTTACCACAAAAAACACATCCCAAAGTAAAACCATAAAAATAAAATTCTTTCTTCAAAGTGCTTCATAATAGCTTTGCTAAACCAAAACTTTATTTTCGATAGACCTTCAACAGACTGACTAGAGCAGTGCCCATTTTAAAGCCCTAAATTTTATTCCTTGGGGGGCATTTGATCAAGAAGCAATTTGGTCCTGTTTCGGTGCTGAAATATTACACCTGTTGATGGTGCAACATAAAGAAAAAACATAACCTGGCTTTAAATGAGAATGTGTACAGCTGTAAACATGGCAAACTTTAGAAGAGGTTTATCACAATTTGAAATAAAAATGTAGTCATATTACCATTTCTGTTTTGCTTTTTAAAAAATGTCCAAATACTCTGACAGGTACTTATTCTGAAAATAGTCTTAAAAACAAATAACTGTAAAATAATGCAAAATATTAAATTCTAGAGGCCCAATAAATATAGGTAGTGGTGCAGTTTAAACTGTGCTGTATATCTAGAAATAGTTTGTTAATGGTAATTATATAGGAATGATTTAAAATACTGTTGTAAGTAAGGAGACTTTCAAGAAAATTAGAAAAACCAACCCAAGAATGAAGTTGGTTAATACTTTTAGGGCAGTGTTGTCACTGTAAATTTTCCTTGTAAAAAATACTTTGCTGGTGAATACAAAACAGCATTCCAATTTAACTGTTCTCAGAAATAACAGTCTGGGATTCAAAGAGTAAGAAAAATATTAATAAAAGTCAGCTGCACAAAACTTTAAATTGTTGCACTAAAAGGTAGATTAAAAATGGCCTACTTGTGTTGCCTATAAATCCCAAAGATATTCAACTCTTTGTGTGAGAGAATAAAAATGTTAACAGTCTATGGATTGCCAGAAAACACAAACATTGTCAATAACTGAGCCCACAAAAATGGTTTGATCATACCCACATTGCTTCCCTTATAGTGGTGATGGTCTTTTGTGCCACTAGAGGTAGGTAATTTTATTCTCAGACATAAATTTGTGGTCATTTTCAACCATGTTTCATTTGTGTATTTGTGTTTGCCCCCCAGAGGAAGGTTTGAATCATTTCCATGACCCAGGCATTATATGTATGCTTCTTTGTTTGCAGAGTTGCTCTGCTGGGCTTGTTCAGGTCCATTTTCAGGATGAGTAATGTCTTCACTTGGTTGAATCATTACTTGGATACGCTAAGTTTAATGGGAGGAAAAAAGAAAGAAAGATCACATCACCTTTATTACACCAAATGTCTTTATATGATACTCTTTAAATGTGTTATGTGTTTAGGGAAGGAAGAGAGGAGAAAGGAACGAAGGAAAAAAGAGTCTGCAGTATTCTTCATCTTCCATACAACATCAAAGAAGGCTTGGCATTGTAACTCCATGCAAGGAATAGTCAAAACTAAATTTAAAAACACCAATTTTGTCCAGCTATTCTTACTCGTGAATTGCATGAGAAGCATCTACCCAAGGTGTTGAATAGAAATTATGGCAAAACTTTTCAATGTGATTTGCTTTTGGAACCTGCAAATGCTTGTTTCAGAGTAAAGGGAAGCAGAGGATCCACATTCTTTTGGTTGAATACAAATTCTAATTGGAGAAGAATTCCAGTTCTGTGGAAACAGCCCTGGTTTACAAGTTAAATAACCGTTTAAATGTGCCTGAGGAAGTGGGTGGTCTTCTCTCAGTTTTCCTAGGAACTTCTTCCTAATATTGAAGGGACTAGAGCAGATAGCAAACACATATTGGTTCAGTCAATTTTGTCGAAGGCTTTCATGGCCAGAATCACTGGATTGTTGTAGGTTTTTTCGGGCTATATGGCCATGTTCTAGAGGCATTTTCTCCTGATGTTTCGCCTGCATCTATGGCACTACCTCACTACCTCTGAGGATGCTTGCCATAGATGCAGGTGAAACGTCAGGAGAAAATGCCTCTAGAACATGGCCATATAGCCCGAAAAAACCTACAACAACTCAGTCAATTTTGTTCTTGACAATCATTTTGAAATGCTTTCTGAAATGGCACATTCTCTAATATGTAGCAGTGCCAGTTACATTTATAGGGTTTTATTTTGGTTTTCATTGATGTTCTAAGATGGGAATGGCATTTCTATATTTTTATTAGTTTTGTGTGGATATTAAAAAGCAACATCTTTGTTGCTGGCATCAGCACTCATTACCCCAAGCCTCTTCCTCAAGACAATTTACATGCCTAGGAGCAAACATACCTGAAATATGAGTCAGAGAAGCATTTCTTCTCTACCATGCAGTGTATCTATACTGTATAATTAATGCAGCTTTACACCACATTATCTACCATAGCTCAAGGCCATGGAATTATGGAATTTATAGTTTGATGAGGCACTAATACTCTTTAGCAGAGAAAGCTAAACACCTTGTAAAATTACAACTTCCATGATTTCATAGCATTGAGCCATGGCAAGAGCCATCGTCGACTAAACAGGTAAACTGAAAGGTTGACGGTTCAAATGCGGGGAACGGGGTAAGCTTTCATCTGTCGAGCTCTAGCTTCCTATGTGGGGACATGAGAGAAGCCTCCCACAGGATGGTAAAACATTGAACATCCAGACGTCCCCTGGACAATGTCCTTACAGACGACCAATTCTCTCACACCAGAAGCGACTTGCAGTTTCTCAAGTCGTTCCTGACACACACACACTCAAAGCCATAGCAGGTAATGTGGTGTAAGGCTGCATTAATTATACAAGGTAAATGCACCCATAGCTGTAGGAATTAGAATAGCTAAATAAGACTGGATGGAAAGGGCTACAGAAACAAAGGACTAAAGAAAGGGAAATATGGCCAATGAACAACAGTGAAGATACCATGAGAAAATAGAACAGAACAGAATGAAGAGATCTGTTTAGGTTAAAAGGAATTGGGGGAAAACTCCACATATACAAGTATAACAATTATACAACTATAATACAATTATTGTGAGTTCAGTTTCCCATACCAAAATGTTATCTGAGAATTAATCACTAATCACTTTCAAGAAGGCAATGGGAAAGGAAATGAGATGGAGAAGCCTGTAGAAAACTGTCAACACTGTAGTCCACTTTGAAGTCAGGTGCAAATCTTATATGGATTTTCTTTAAAAGAAAATTCTCAGCTGGTAAGCTCTCCGGAAAGCACATAGAATCATGGAAAGGTTCTCTGTATCTAATGATTGCTATTCTTCAGTTTGACAAAGTATGGGTTGCAACAACAAAAAGGGAGCCGTAGGGGACATATCATTGCATCTTAGCAATATTATTTACTTTTACACTTCAATTGAAGAACAAGAACTTTCCCAGTTGTAGGTATGATGCAGTGTATATTGCTTACCTGTTTTAAGGAGCCTTTCAAGGTAAGGAACATGTATGCCATGTAACCTGGGATCAGCACCATCGATGAGAGAGCCATGAACCATCCAACTCCTTGACCCCATTTGGGAAATACGTAATCACCCAGAGTGAGAGGAGTCATTTGCACAGCACTGAAGATAAATACTCCCTGGAAAATATATTTGAAACATTGTTACTAGTTTGTTATGGTTTTTCTGATAACTCTTCACTTGTACAAGAAAGCAGAGGTTATACTTTTTAATCTTCTCCATCTAGCCAATCTCTATTGGTATATATTTGTGCAGAGACCCATTGTAGGTTTCAGCTATGTTTTATTTTATTATATCCATTAAGGGTGTCCTTGCAAAGTATATAAAATATTACATGTATAAGAGGGACAAATGGTTTCATGGCTATCAATATGGCAGCAAATTAGAAAGGAAAGGAAAATTCCCCTTCTCTCATGTTGTCATTTAACATTTTAGAAAAGTGTATGTGTAGATGCAGTTGTTGTTCATTCGTTCAGTCATTTCTGACTCTTTGTGACTTCATGGACCAGCCCATGCCAGAGCTCCCTGACGGCCATCACCACCCCCAGCTCCTTCAAGGTCAATCCAGTCACTTCAAGGATACCATCCATCTATCTTGCTCTTGGTCGGCCCATCTTCCTTTTTCCTTCCATTTTCCCCAGCATCATTGTCTTCTCTAAGCTTTCCTTTCTTCTCATGATGTGGCCAAAGTGCTTCATCTTGGCCTCTACTATTCTTTCCTCCAATGAGCAGTCAGGCTTTATTTCTTGAAGTATGGACTGGTTGGATATTCTCGCTGTCCAAGGCACTCTCAGAACTTTCCTCCAGCACCACAGTTCAAAAGCATCTATCTTCCTTCGCTCAGCCTTCCCTATCGTCCAGCTCACATCCGTAGGTGACTATGGGGAATACCATTGCTTTAACTATGCGGATCTTTGTTGCCAGGGTGATGTCTCTACTCTTCATTATTTTATCAAGATTGGTCATTGCTTTCCTCCCAAGAAGTAAGCATCTCCTGATTTCCTGGCTGCGGTTTGCATCTGCAGTAATCTTTGCACCTAGAAATACAGTCTGTCACTGCCTCCATGTTTTCTCCGTCTATTTCCCAGTTGTCAATCATTCTTGTTGCTATAATCTTGGTTTTTTTTATGTTTAACTGCAACCCAACTTTTGCGTTTTCTTCTTTCACCTTGATTAGAAGGCTCCTCAGCTCCTCCTCGCTTTCAGCCATCAGAGTGGTGTCATCTGCACCTCTAAAGTTGTTAATCTTTCTTTCAGCAATTTTCACCCCAGCCTTGCATTCGTCAAGCCCCACACATCGCATGATGTGTTCTGCATACAAGTTGAATAGGTTGGATGAGAGTATACAACCCTGCCGTACGCCTTTCCCAATCTTGAACTAGTCTGTTGTTCCATGGTCAGTTCTTACTGTTGCTACTTGGTCCTTATACAGATTCCTCAAGAGAGAGATAAGGTGATTTGGTATGCCCATACCACCAAGAACTTGCCACAGTTTATTATGATCCACACAGTCAAAGGCTCTGGAATAGTCAATGAAACAGAAATACATGTTTTTCTAAAACACCCTGCCTTTCTCCATTATCCAGCGTATATTGGCAATTTGGTCTCTTGTTCCTCTGCCTTTTCTAAACCCAGCTTGTACATCTGGCAGCTCTCTCTCTATGTATTGCTGGAGTCTTCCTTGCAGGATCTTGAGCATTTCCTTACATGCAGTATAGATAAGCATATCCCTGCACAAACAGTTGAGAGCCTCTATGGGTCACTAATGTTTTCTGTTTATAAAAGGATGTTTTAATGAGGTATGTTACTTTACTACTGTGTAAAGCACAAAGGAATTCTGCATTTTTAATTTGAATGTCCTATGATTTACAGTGAGAAAAATGATAAAAGACAAGATATGAAAAAAGTGAGTTCACTTTTTATCTCTCTAGCTAAATTGCATGCTACTTTGTATTGTTATTAAATATAATTCATATTCCTAGGCAAATGTTTTTTTCTTACTGCCACAATGATTGGAGTAAAGAAAGACCAGCAGAGTTTCCACCAGATGCAGGGCCTGTACCCAACCATCTCCTGGATGTTATCATAAAATCTGTTTACACCTAAAGGAAAAGAAGAATACAAAAATAAAATGTGGGCTGAAGCCAATATTAAATGTAGAGAATACATAGAAACCCCTGTGTGTATATGTATGACAGTCTTAAACTTATAAACAGATCTATTCCAAAATATATCACAATCAAAGACCAAAAGTTCTATAGTCTTATTCCCATGCAGTCAACAGTTCATAGTAGACTTGATACTAATGGATAATAGCAAAACCGAAAATTGGAGAGGAGGGAGGAGAAGGATTTTCCTGTTACAAAAATGGGGAGGGCAGGACAGGGAATTCTCTGGGTATCTGTCGCCCAGGAATACAATTAAGCAGCATAAGAGCTGTAGAAGACAGCTATGGTCATCCTTGCTGGAAATAGCCTGATTCCCAAAATGACATTTTTATGCTATAGCATCTACCTGCCCTTAGATATGTTAAAAAAAGATTATCTTATCCAACCAGAGGTGAGATCTTACTGGTGCTTTATTTTGAGGCCACTCAGTGACTAATTATTTGTGAGTACAGTAGAGTCTCGCTTATCCAACATAAACGGGCAGGCGGAACATTGGATAAGCCAAAATGTTGGATCATGAGGGATTAAGGAAAAGCCTATTAAATGTCAAAATACATTATGATTTTACAAATTAAGCACCAAAATGTCATGTTTTACAACAAATAGACAGAAAAAGCAGTTAAATACACAGTAACGTTATGGAGTAATTACTATATTTACGCATTTAGCACCAAAACATCGCAATGTATTGAAACAGCTGTGGATCTGGGTGGGAGGCAGACTGCACTGGATAATACAGAATGTTGGATGAGTGAAGGTTAGATAAGCAAGACTCTACTGTATCTCTAAACATGGGCAGAAAATTGTTAAAATTTCTCATTGCTTCAAAGAATGAAATAAGCAAAGAATGGCTTCCCTAATTAACATAAGGTTTTTGAAAGGGTAACAAAATGGTATTTTCTCACTAACCTTTCTATTTCTGATTAGCTTTAGGCCAACATGACAAACTTTTTACTTGATGTACAATCTTGTTACTTTCTGTGTTATAGTTTTATAGCTTATTGCAGGCTCTATTGTACACAGCCCTTTCCTTAAAGGTTTAATTAGCATCAACACTGGTTACATTTCAATGCCAATTTTAAAACTGACTCTTCACTAATGCTTTCAGGACTGAACACACATTTAGTGGGACATAGGTTTTTGTTTTACATTCTGTAGTTCCTGCTCTCCCCCCACCACATGCAAACACTTTTTCAAAAATCATTTTACATTGCGTTCAACCATATAATGTTATTTCCTTGTCTATATTCCACACAGATATCTTTAAATTCGGAACAGGGTATAATTATTTTAATGCTTTAATAAAAGAACACTACTTGTGTTAATAAATTTCAAGATACCAAAACATCACATACCATAGCACCAGGATATGGAGATACACTCAAAGAACACAAGAAATAACAGACTCATTCCACTTGCAGAATAGTAGTCAAAGAGCTTGAACACATACAGCCCGCCCTGCAATGTATAAGATGTGTTCAGTTCATCACATTAAATATGGGATATTTAGTGACTGTGAATTAATTTAATCAAAAAAGTGAAAGCCATGTAACATTCCTGCAACATTGGTGTTATGCTCATGGGCATTATGCTAATCAAAATCATTAGTGCAGTGGTAGGAATAATTTAGTCCTCCAGATGTTGTTTGACTACAAGGGTTCCAGTAGCTAAAGTCAGTACAGCCAAAGCTAAGGAATTCTGGGGGATGTAATACATCATTTGAAGGGATGCATAATTCCCATATCTGTGCTAGGGGATGTTGTTGTTTATTCCTTCAGTCACTTCTGACTCTTCGTGACCTCATGGACCAGGCCACGCCAGAGCTCCCTGTTGGCTCTGGCCACCCCCAATTCCTTCAAAGTCAAGCCAGTCACTTCAAGGATATTTTCCATCCATCTTGCTAGGGGATATTGATACACAAAGGTTTTGAAAAAGCTGTATTCCCCCCCTAAAACTCACCATCTTAAAATCATAATGCTAGAGAAAACGTTTATTGCTTAATGGGTAGAAAATATAACCACAACAAGATATCAATACATGTTTTACCTGAGTAATATTGGACAGTCCTATCAGATAAGAAATAACACACACGATGGCAATGAAGATTTCTCTTCGACTACGCAACAATCTTGGAAATTCATCCACTAGAGCTGTTATGAATCCTTCAACGGTACAGAACTGAAAGTGGAATTAGAGTTTACATATAAATCGAACCAATAACATTCAGTCCAGCTTCACATGCATTCATTCTAACACTTCTCAATTTTTTTTACAGATCAGTAATTCTGTAGTTGGCATAATATGACCAATCTGTGCAGTTTTCATATACTTCAGAGGCAGAGAAAGTACAGCCTGTGGACCATGAGACCCCGCAAGGATATTATGGACACAAGAGGGGCATTTTTAAACAGAAAATAACCTAGGATTTTACCTCCTGGATTCCCCCTCCCTTGCTAAATTGCCCCTAAGAATGATGTTGAGGATGGGGGAATTTGACGTGACACCCAAGGCGTCAGGCATCTTAACATATTACAAATGTTCATCCTTTATATTTTGTGTATAAAAGGAATTAAATTTGTATTCCAAGTCTACAATCCTGTTAAACTACCTGTAGACTTTAAGACATGCTTGATTAGTATATTAAGATATGTCACAAATAGAAATAATGGGAAGAGCATTATTTTTATCCAGCCTAATGAGCCACATACCTCTATCCCTACCATAATTAAAATAGCTGGGTCCCGCTGAGAACACCTGCTGGCATGTAGACTGACAGTAAAAATATTGATTCTGGTTAGCTTTTACTTGGCTTTGAATGTCTTTGCTTTTAACCCTGGTTTTATTTTGAACTATTTATACATCCGTAAATTATTTAAATTGCTTTGGGTGCCCTTGCTAGGAATTAAATTGTTTTAACTGGCTAACCTATTTTACTGATTGAATTTATGGCTCAGGTTAGATATAAAATAAATGGTTGACATGTATTGTCAAAGGCTTACATGGCCAGAATCACTGGGTTGTTGTAAGTTTTTTGGGCTGTATGGCCATGTTCCAGAAGCATTCTCTCCTGACATTTCACCTGCAGAGGTTGTGAGGATGCCTGCCATAGGTGCAGGCAAAACATCAGGAAAGAATGCTTTTGGAACAAGGCCATACAGCTCGAAAAACTTACAACAACCCAATGGTTGACATGGTTTACAGACCCTAGTGAAACTACAAGAAACCTCTGGAAAAGTCTCTCTGGAGTTTGAGGTCAGGAGTGTGAGGCCACGAGTAGGCTATTATTATATTTTCCTTTCACCTAAGTCTTAAAAATGCTCTTTCCAGGATAAACTGGTATCTGGCATCTTTAATGGACTGGATGAGGACAGACAAACTGAAACCCAATCCAGACAATACAATACATAAGAGCTCCTGCTGAATTGAAACATAGATCAAGGACGAGGATTTAGCCTATGCTGAATGGAGTTAGTAAAGTGTATTCCTAGATTCAGACCTGAACCTGGATGTTGCGATTGATGGTTATGTGGGGTACAACTACACAATTAAAGTTCACAACCATCATCACATCAACAGCTTAATGAAATGCATTGAAATGTAGTCAGCACATACTTTAGCAAAATGTGCATAGTATATATTACCACATCTAAAACAGAGCTAGTGTGTATAAAATAAATAATACATTAAAAATAACACATTATACATTCATAGTTAATCTAGTTATGGTAGCCAAATTTAAAAACATAGTCATTTTTTGATCATGAAGACCTTGAAGCAAAATAATAATAAGAGACTCGGGGGAGCAATCTGGAAGAAACGTTGTATGATATTTAGTTTTCCCTAGTCCCTTATAACAGCATTGAAGAATACCTGAAAAATTCTACTTTGAGGGGGCAAATCTATTGTTCAATAGGATTTTATTATAATCCATTTTCCAATAAATTAAAGTGAAGAATACCAAAACTTTCCAAAGAAAAGGCTTTTCTATATAAAATAACACACAACAATTGTGCAGATAAATGTGCTGGTAGAGCTTTGTGCTTGCTTCTTAGTCAGATAAATATTTTGGTTCACATGTTGACCCTATTGAAAGTTTAGTGAGTGATCACTATGCCACTAAAGTACTTTGTGGCTTTTGTCATCAGATTATGACTGACCTACATTTCTGGCAGGCACTTGGAAGAATGTTAAGACTGGCAATGTGACAATAAGCATTCCAGTGTGGTATAGGAGGGCTAAGGTTTGTACATTGCAGGAGGCCACTTTCAGTGGTGCAGTATGCCTGTGGTGACAGTAGAGAGCAAATATTTCACATTATTATGTACTACCAATGGAGCAATTGTACAGGGGGTGAAACAAAGAAGCCACAATACCCTCAGACATATTTAGTTTGCAAAGTATTAGGCTACTTTTCTCAGCTCTTGAAAGTAGCCCTAAAGCCACAGTCAGTTAAGGATGTTTGACCCAATTAAATTCTCAGCAATTTCCTCAGAATAAATTATTAATGAGTTTTTTCTCCTTGAAAAAAGAGTGTCATGCTTCATGAAAGAATGATCAAAATGTAACAGTATTTAACTTTATTTTCAATGCTGTTATGTAATGCCATTGCTGTTGTTAATTTTAGTTTCCAAGGTGTATTTATCTCCTCTCTTCTCCCTCCCTCGGTTTGCTTCCTTTTTTTTCCTTCTCCTTCCTGAGTTTCTGGCAAAATGTCTTTCCCATCCCAGCACCCTTGCTTTCTCCATTCTCTTTCTCTGTCTGTCCGTCCGTCTGTCCATCCATCCATTATCTATCTCATTGATGCTCCTGCTCTAGTCTTTTCCATCTCTCCTCTTCTCTTTAACTTTCTCTCTCTCCCCAGTTCTTGTGGCTACATTTGTCTTATCTTTCCTTTGGCATCACTCTCTTTCTGCCCTCCATATTCTTTTCTCTTTTCTCTCTCACTTCTCCCAACAAAATCCATCCTGTTCTTCCCTATTTCTCTCGTCACTTCTTTTATTTTAGCTTTCCCCACAGAAAACCTTGAAATTTATATTGGAATATATCCCCAGCATTTTAATGTTGTATGTCCCAATAAAACCAATAGGTCTTATTTCAAAATAGACATACATTTGTTTCCATGTGTTTGTGTTTATTGGAAGCTTCTCCTACCTCTTGTATTCAATTTGTGAAACAGAGAAAAAGTCCAGTTTTTGACTTTTTGTGAAAAAAAAACCCAGAAGTCATGTTAGAACCCACAAATCATGTTCTCTGCCAGAATCTCTCTTGGTAAGTTGACGAGGTAGGAGATGATGGAAGTCATGACTACCTCACTGAACTCGCTGAGACTGGAAAAATGGTGACAACTGCCAAGAGCTGTTTATCCTCCTCCTCCTCTCTTTGAGGCAAATGCACTTTTTCCTGTTTTAGGGCCCCCAAAATGCAAGATTGCATCAATTGCAAGACACAGCCAGTTTTTGAAACCCCTAAAGCAGGAAAAAATGAATGATATAATCAGTGAATTATGGTATATCATTAATCACTGACCTCTTGATTTTGTACATGTGCTTTAAATAACAACAACAGTATTGCATCTGTGTTACCTGACTGTCAATTCCAAGCATGAGCAACATGGAGAAGAAAAGTATTGCCCACAGTGGAGAAACAGGGAGTTGGGTCACAGCTTCTGGATAGGCTAAAAATGCAAGCCCAGGACCTGGTGATGGACAAAAAAAATCAAGTATTGTTTATGTTAAGACTGATGCAAGAGCTAACGGAATATTTTTTGTTACTGATATTTTAAATTATAATTTGTATATCATATATCAGAGTACAAGAATACTAAAGGTGGAGAAACTAGTGGTTATGACTGATAGCAGTATCTAGAAACATATAAATTAAATTCCAAGACAATACCAAATTATATTATCTTCTTAATATTACAAATATTATAAATTAGGTTCAAAGATGTAAAATGACATACAGTAAATTCAGAGAATGAAATGTTCAAAATGAAAGCAATGCAGAATCTTATGACCTCATCAGATGGGGTAAAGTTAGCAGGAAGTTGGTGCTGTGGTGACATGCACCGGTTCACCTTGCCTTTTGCCATGCAGTCTGCTGGCGGCATTCCCTAACAAGCAGCTACTTCTGGTGGGGATGCAAGGTAAAAAAAGAAGTCGAACTGGTGCATGCCACCACGGCATGCACTTCTTAGGCTCTTCAGACAGATTCTCCCTTTCCAGCCAATCTTTCATGTTCAATTGAGATCAATGGGAGGAGTTGAGTGGCCAATGCTTCCCGCCATGGGTTTGGATGATGGGTGAGTCAGGTGATGTGGGTTCTCCATGCTCCCTGATGGGTACTGCTGGATTCGCTATGATGCGTGGCGATTCTTGGCAGCCCATCTGATGAGGTCACTAATAACCCATGCAGACATACAAAGTATGCTTTGCTGTAGTTATTACTTTACAAATTATGAACTTAAAACACTGAACTTTCATTCTAGACCCTTGTTCCTTAGCTACAATTTGTACTATCCCATTCTTGTTTACAGTCCGACAATATCTTACGACAGTTGTCACCATAGGTTATTGGGTGTTGTTCTGAGTTGTTTTATATGCTATATGTTTTACTTTATTGTATTGTACTCTGCGTTTATTTCATGCTCTACTTTGGGCATTTTGGGCCACGTGTAAGCTGCCCCGAGTCCCTTCAGGGAGATGGAGACAGGGTACAAGAAAAAAGTTATGTGGTGTAGAACCTTGTCCATGAACAAGAAAGTATAGTTATAATGATGTGATAATGGGAAAATTCCATTTGTTATTTTTTCTTTCCAGTTTTACTATCCCTTCCCATTTCCTCTCGCTTTCTCCCTTTTGGATCTCTTGCCTCCCTTCACTGCTTTATTTGTACCTTTGCCTTGGTGTTTTTTCTTCATACTTTTCAGTTCCATTGAGCTAAACATTTTCTGATCATAGTAGATTTTGGAGAAAGCATCCTTCTCTCCATAATTATCCCATCTATTGGTTGTATTTCTACACATTAACACTGCTACAATTTGCACACTTTTTGTATGCCCACACTTACTCCGTCCAGACCCTTTGCTTCCTGACTTTCTTTAGTACAATAGATACTGATCTTTCTTTAGTGGCATGAAAACATGAATTGATAACTCACTCATGCAGGTAAAAAGAGCCCTATTTTCCTAGACAGCTTCCAGGAGGAAGATTTCCCCATACATTTCCTATTACTCTCTCCATTTCCACTTTCAGACAACCTCTCTCTCCTTTTTCCACTAGCAAAGAAGTTCACTAGGAAAAGAAGACAGTAGACAGAAACTGCAGATCTTGGGGACAACAGAGTTAACATCAAAGTCAATGACAAATACTTTCTAAAGAAATTCAGGCCTATTGCTGCTGTTGTGAAACAAATCTGCTGTAACTATGAGAATAGTAAGTTATTTGTCCTTTTTGGGTTTCCCATGGAAAAGGATGGGGTCATGTCACTTTCAGATGGCTGGATAGCAGAACAGCAAAATATTAGGTAAGAGCAACATTGTTCAGGAAGTGTTAATGGCCCCAATAACTACCTGCTGAATCAAATCATACTGCAAGCATTAAAATGTACCACACCTGATTTTGCAACTTCTTCAATAGGACGTTTGGTGACATAAGCCATAAATCCTACAATGGAGAATATCACAAAACCAGCAAACATACTTGTGCAAGAGTTTATGCAGCATACTATAATAGAATCCCTGAAGGAAGAGAGAGAGAAAAAAGGATAGTGACACTGCATGAAATCAAGAGGTTTATCAATATTTTCAATGGGAGGACAGTTTATTTAATGCATATAACATTATAGACAGAGCTGACTATTGTGAATAACAATAACAACAAATCAATATACTTAATCTGTAGTTAGTTCTTTGTCACTTGAAATACAAATTATTTCTCGGTTTGTCTCTTATTACTTTTGTTATATAAGATGCTACAGAGGAAAAGAGACTATTCCCACCATGCATTACAGTGCTATGGGTGGATGAACAAGCTTCAGATTGCATTAACCTCTATGCTGCAGTATATAGAGCTACCTTTCCTCCCTAGGCATTCTGAATTTGGGAACCACTATGGAGCTTGCTCCTCTGACATTCAGAGTAGGGCTGTGTATACCCCAAAAGTGCCTCTATTCTGGGTTCTCATATAGTTCTAAGACCAGCTTGCCCATGGTGCAAGCAGAGGTGACATGTTTCACCTGGCATTGGTTCTATGAGGTGCATCTTTGCTCTGGCCCCAGGCCACTGCTAGGATGCAATTCATCCAAAGAAGGGGAAGGGTTGAGAAGACTTTATGTTATAGCTTCACTCTTTTTCCCCCTCTGAAGATCTTCTTCTGGTGGGCCAAATGCTAGGAAACACTGGAATACTATATTAATACAGAAAAAGGAAAGGTAGACGTGGGTGAGAGGAAGGGCAGACTGTTTAAGCAGCAGAAGCCATAGGTTTCCATGTCAGTGTAGCTGTGGCTCCATTCATATTTTTCTCCCACTTCATAATACCCAATGAATTTCTATGACCGTACTAACCTATGATATAAGATAGAAATCATTATTCTATTGAACTTCATTTTTTCTATTAAATGGAATAATGATTTCTATCTATATCATGCCTAGATATGTGTTTTCCTCGAATAGTAGTTTTGGATCTCTTGTTAAACAATTAACTGTCACTCTGATTTTAATATATGTGCTCTATGTATAATTGGAGAGGATTCTTCAATTCTGGCTTCTCTGGCCAGTGAGCTATTATCATTCCTTTTTTTACTTATAGCCAGAATGTTCCTGCACAAGAAGTTGTAGGGCATAGCTCCCCATTTTTCTTAACACTGGTTAGGCCAGAGGTCATCAAACTTCCAAAGCAGAGGGCAGTTCACGGTGCCCTAGACTGCTAGGGGGCCGGACTATAGTTCGAAAAAAAAAACATAAACAAATTCCTGTGCACACTCCACATATTTTATCTGTAGTGCAAAAAAATATATATGAAAGAATAATACAATATTTAAAATGAAGAACAATTTGAACCAACACAAACTTATCAGTATTTCAATGGAAAATATAAGCCTGCTTTTGGCTGATGAGAGAGTCAAGTTAATTAAAATTGTTCTTGTTGTGTGCCTTCACATCATTCCAGACTTAGGGCAAACCTAAGTCTAAAGTTTAGAATGGGGCCAGGTAAATTGCCTTAGTTTAGGGACCCTTGGTCTAGGCTGTTTAAGACCAGTCATATCTGGAATGCCACACAATTCCCATCCTGTTTATGCTGTGACAAATGTTTATTGTATTACCTGTAAACATTGTTGTTGAAAGGATTGTAACTTCCAAGAGCAATCAATGAACCAAGACCCAAACCATAGGAGAAAAAGATCTGGGTGGCAGCATCCAGCCAAACCTAATAATAAAGGATAGATATAGTTCTGTAACCTCTTGATTTGTGGTTTCTAAATATTTTCAAACATGACAATTTTGCTAGCTATAAAAATTCATAAACATAATAGTAATAAAATTTTATGCAAGTTGCAAAGCCTGAATGCTTACCTCAGAATCTGATAGCTTCTCAAATTTAGGAGTTATATAGAATAAAATGCCTTCTCTTGCTCCAGGTAATGTTACCCCACGGAAGAACAAGATCAGCAGCATGATATATGGATATGTGGCTGAGAAGTATACCACCTAATTAAAAAATCAGATGCTTAGTGTTGGAAACAAAGGCCACGCTTGATTTTCTTTGATTCACTTTAGTATTAGTTTAAGGAATACAGTGAGCAATAAATCCAGTCTAATGTTGTGAAGTCTGAAACATGATGGCATCCATATCTTCCTTTTTACATCTTAAGTGCACACCTTCCAAATTCTCTGTTCAGTGCCCTATATACCAGTGTTTCTCAACCTTCCTAATGCGGCAACCCCTTAATACAGTTTCTCATGTTGTGGTGACCCCCAACTATAAAATTATTTTTGTTTCTACTTCATAACTGCAATTTTGCTGCTGTTATGAATTTTAAAGTAAATATCTGATATGCAGGAAGTATTTTCATTCACTGGACCAAATGTGGCACAAATACCCGATACGCCCAAATTTAAATACCGGTGGGGTTGGGCGAGATTGATTTTGTCATTTGGGAGTTGTACTTGCTGGGATTTATAGTTCACCTACAATCATTCTGAACTCCACCAAAAATGGAATTGAATCAAACTTGGCACACAGAACACCCATGACCAGCAGAAAATACTGGGAGGGTTTGGTGGGCACTGATCTTGATCTGTGGACTCAACAATGATGGATATGGGCCAAACTTAGCACGAAAACTCAATATGCCCAAATGTGAACAGTGGTGGAGTTTAGGGAAAATAGACGTGACATTTGGGAGTTTTCGTTGCATTTTGAACCCCACCAATGATACAATTGGGCCAAACTTCCCACACAGAACTTCCATGACCAACAGAAAATACTGTATTTTTTGGCGATCCCTCTGATACCCCCTCATGACCCCCCAAGGGTCCCGACCCCCAGGTTGAGAAACACTACTATATACGAATGTAAAAGTCTTGAAAAAAACTGAGTCAACATATCTATGGCTCAGTGTGAGTATCTTACATTTATTTTAAAAGAAACCATTCCCTTTTCTGAGTAGAATAATAAAAAAGTGAAACCTTAGTTCAACCTGGGAGGACGTAAAACAAGCAGTAACCCCTTCTGCTTTTTTCATTGCAGCACCACTGACCTTTTCTGGCCTTTTTGAATGCTAGGGTAAGGAAATGGTAGTGGCAGCAGCCAGGCGTAGCTGGTATACGAGATTGATTTATATGTAATTACATAGTAATATGTAATACTAAACAACTACATGCTCAGTTCTTGCCATCTTTACTTTCCGCTCCCTTTTAATACCTTTTACTGCTCGATTAATTAAAAGTTTGATTGGCACAGTAAAAAAAAAAGACAATGCAAACACAGGTCCAAGATCATTTTATTATAGCATAGATATCTGTGTTATGCATCCTTTCTATGTAGAACAACTTATGTGGATCAATGTTCAATGTACATGGCTAGCAACCCTTGTGCAAGTGTGATGTTCAAATTATGTACATAGTGGCAATACATATTCACACATTGCTTTGTATACTTTATCATGGTGCTGCCTGTGTAACCATTTCAAATACGCAGCTCTGCTTGCACCACTATTAGCTGGATATAATGGCTGCACATTATCCACAAAAATCATTCCACATGTGTGGCACCACTTATATCCTGGATGTCAGAAATTTATTTAAATTTAATCATAAAGATATTTAAAGGATAAATATCTAAAACATGTTGTACTCAGTATATCTCTTGGAAAGAATAATTTATTTTAAATAAAGGCATTTTTTGAATACTGTGTTGATTCAACTTGCAATGTATGTGATTGTAAAATATATTTTTACCTTTCCAGTCCATCCTACTCCTTTCCAGATGCAGAAATACACTAAAATCCAAGCAATTGCTAGAGTAATTGCTAATGGCCAGCGAATTTGTCCTGGTTTTTCTAGTCCATCTGTCATTTGATGCATATTACGTCTGAAAACAATGAAAATACATACAAAGTTACCTAATTTAACTGTTTAATTAAACAGACTAAGAAATTAAAAGTACATGTTCATAAGAATGAGAAAAAAATCTTTCTAGCTTACTCCCAGAATTCCAAAACAGCACTTGTCATGTTGGTAGTATTTGCTATACTGTAATTGGAGAAACAGTGGTCTGTGTTCCAGGGGTTATCACAGTGTCTCCATGGAAGATTCTAATTAAAAAGGTAGGGATGGGGGTGAGGGAAAGAAAAATAAAAAGATCAAAGTTTTTATAAGCCAGGTTAACCTAAAGTATATTGGTTGTTTAGAAATTAATGTCATTTTGGGTTTTCTACATATTTATTCTCCCTTAGATTCATCTCTGCCACAAGTTTGCTTTTTCACGATATTCCTTATGATTTTGCTGAGGAATGTCTGTTAAATAGTCTTTATTTTCTTTAAACAGTTATAAACCTAAGGAATATCGGTTTTTAACGGGCATGAAAAATGGCTTCTGAGCTAATCTGTTCCCAGATTTTGGAATTATCTTTTACATTCAAAAAGCTATGTGGGCTTTGTCTCAGTTATATTTTTATTGATAATTTTAATTCAGAAAAACACACCAAACCTACAACCAGACAGAAAAAGCAAGAATATAAACCATAAGACAAAAACAAAAGAAGTAAAGGTACATTTTCTTAATATAAAAACACATTACTACATTACTTAATATAAAAACACATTACTACAATATAAAAACACATTACTACATATAAAAACACATTATTTTCTTAATATAAAAACACATTACCCTACCACTGAACACTAACTACATACATACAAATCTACTGTACCTAATCTTATAGCTTTACACTCTCTGCCTGGTGGTTACATTGTTTAGATGTGCATACAACTGGGGTAAAGTTGTGCTAAATTTAATTATGTAGGTTCTTTCCCCCAAAAAAGATGCACCTACATGAACTGTTGTTATTTGTCATCATGTTAATCATGAATTATGATGATCTTATGAACAAGAGATCTTCAAGATACCTTTTCATCAGCAGCCCTGCTCAGATATTAGGCTTGGTTGACCCTCCAACCCCCCCCCCCCCCCAATGGTTCAAAACTTGTTTCAGATGTAGGGGGTGCTGGTAAGTCAATTATAAAGTTACTTCTGATTTTTTTTAAAAAAACACTCAAAACTTTCCAAAACTTTCGAAACTTCTGAATCACTTTGTTAATGGCAGATACGCGTGCACAGTAGGAAAAAACAGCACTGGCACTGGGGAAACTTCAGAGGATTCTCCCTCCCTCGTTTTTAGACCAATCCTGATGAAGCTTGATACAGTGGTAGAACACATGGACCACTGATGGCTCACCAAATTTCATAATCTTTGACTTATCCATGGATTTTTGGCAAATTTTCAATTTTTTTATAAAAACATTTTTATAATAAAGAAAATCTGTTCTTAGTTTGAAAGTGTTATTTCCTGTTTCATTGGGTGGTCTTTACTTTGAAAGTAGTTGTTCTACTCCAGAGACTTTGTTTGTGTGGCACAAATTGTGTTAAATTGGTGGAGAACAGAAATCATAGTACAGACCCATCGAGGGACATCGACTGACCTCCTTCTTCTGGGCAGAAAGGCACCATCCAAACTCCTGACATCCATTTGTTTCCTCTACTGAGTTGGAGGGGACTCTCAAGACACATCCATCCATTTATTCCTATTTGCAGATGCAATCAATCATTTTATTTTATCATTACTTACTGATCTAAAGGGCTGGCTACTCCAGTGCCTTGCTCATGGCAATCAGGCCAAAGTGAAATGCTTGGTTTTTAAGCAGTTTATATTCTCTTGGCTTTACAAAAGTTGCTTATTGCTTTGCTGCCTCCTTTAGAACTCTTTATAGATTCAATCAGTTTATTTTATATTTAGATGAAGACCGCTACAGACAGCTATAGTATTTTGGGGTCTTTCAGCCATTTTGGCTAATGAGCAGCCGGGCAGTGTGGGAAATGTAGTTTAACAGCAGGGCCTTTTGCAATCTCTACCATTGAGGGGCGTGGCCTTCACAAATTACAACAATGGCTGTGCTTAGCCACGCCCACCTCATCCCTCACTTGCATCGCCGGGGGAGGGAAAGCATGAGATTTTAAAACTTTTTAGGCTTTACCAAAGTTGCTTAATGGTTGTGAAAATTAAAATAATCTTAGGAGACAGCTGAACATTATGGAATATTTCCGAAAAAAAAGTAAGTGGTTCAAATTCGGATTCCCCCCCCCCCCCACCTTTCCTGCATGGTTCAAAATTGCTTTGGAAGCCCAAATTCGGAAGTTTTCTTCCAACTTTCCAGCACTTCGGAATGAACCTATCCAACTTTATTGGATATTGCAAGCTCAAGGCTGTGGTTTCTATAATTGACTCAATCCACCTGTATTCTGGTCTACTTCTTTTCTTACTGACTTCATTTACCAAGCATTATCACCTTTTCCAGTGAATCACACTATCTCATGATGTATTCAAAGTATGACAGCTTCAGTTCAGTCATATTAGCTTCCAGAAAGACATATTCTAATATAAGTCAATTATTATTGTGTGACTACAAGTCATTTATGACTTACGGCAATCCTAAGGTGACTCTATCATTGGCAGAATGTATTCAGTGGGGGCTTGCCTTTGCCTTCCTCTGAGGCAGAGAACATGACTTGCCCAAGCTTACCCACTGCGTTTTAATGGTAAAACAAGGACTCCAACCCTGGTCTTCCTGAATCCTTGTCTAACACTCAAACCACTACATCACACTGGCTCTCTGCATTAGTCAATATTTTCTACTCGTAGTCATTGACCAAAATAAAATATTCATTCATTTATATTTTCTATCAGGCTGGTAATTTATGGACATGTCCTAAAAGTGACATAGGTTTGAGGATACAGAGGAAAAACAACCCTTTTGATTCAAATAATGTTGTATGCCAGTCCTTATTCTAGTTTTAGGGGTCAATATTATGAATATTCTGCTATTCTATGTCCTACAAAAATATAAAAACGAATACTATAAATGGAATTTCTAGTGGTCAAGGAAATAATACAGGGTTCTATAAAGCCCTTTTTTGTTGATACTGAACTCTGATTTCTCAAATATGAAACAAAACACGATTAAAATACATATAACAAATATATGCAGGTAAAATGCAGATCAAAATTCACCAATAAAATGCAGGTTAAAATTCACAAGTTAAAATTGACTGGAAAGCCCTGCCAGAAGTGAAAGATTAAGTTGTGCCTTTAATTCTGATAGCTGGTTGAGCTGTCAAATCTCTTCTGACAGGTTATTCCACAGTCATGGCGCAGCTAATGAAAAGGTCCTCTGGGTTCTTGCTGGTTGGAGTAGATGCCTTCCAGAGGACTTAAATGTATAGGGTAGTTTATATAGGAGAAGGTGGTACTGTAGGTAACCTAGACCAAAACCATGTAGGGTTGTAAAGGTCAAAACCATCACTTAGTACTTTGCCCAGAAACTAATTGGCAACTAGTGGAGTGGTTGTAGTATAGATGTATGCTAACTCCCAGGTGTTCCCATTACCAATCTGGGTGCCGTGTTTTGAACTAATTGAAGTTTCCGAACTTGGTACTGAGGTAGGCTAATATAAAGCACATTGCAGAAGTTCAACCTTGAGGTTACCATCTTTAGGACCTCCAACTCTAGGAAGGGGTGCGGCTGGTGTATCAGTAAGCACTCCTGACAGTTGCATCTACCTGGGCTGACATTTGGAGAAATGGACCCAGAAGTCCTCCCAAACTGTGAACAAAGTCTTTCAGGGGGAGTGCAACCCTGTTCAGAACTCGTTGATATGCCTGCATCCCCAAGTTAGGATCTTTGATGGCAAGCCCCTGTGTTTTGTCTGGATTCAGTTTCAGTTTGCTTTTCTTCATCCAGCTCATTACCTTCTCCAAGCATTAATTTAGAGGAGGCATGCTATTCTAAGTTAAAGCTGTTTTTTTTTAATGGGGAAATACTCTTGTGGATTACATTAAAAGCTAGTTCAGTCAGCAGTCTGCCTCCATGCTGGCCAACTAGATGTCAATGGGCAGCCAATACAAAGAAGATTGCTATAGTAGAATGATGTGCATTTTCTCCAGTGACTAGCTTTGAGATGCATGCTTATTCAGAACCTAGCACTAATATTTTGCCTTTATGATAATCTTCTTATCCAAGATTTTCTGTAGCCATTAATAACTTTCTTGACCACAACTTTGTCTAATCTCTTATTAAACCAGCCTGGTTGCAGACAGCACTATATCTTACAGAAGCAAATGGTTCAACAAAATGTACATCATTTAGTTCAGAATTTAATCATGCAACTTTCTTGGATGGCCTCAAGGCAGCACTTCCTCACCAACCTTTCCATGGTATAAATAATTCCCTTTCTCATTTTTCCTAACCTTAAAAGCAACACACATTGTATATTTTTCTCCTAGAGGAGTCATTCCAATCCAGTCATTGTTTTCTGCACCTTTTCTAACTTTACAGATTTTTTTAAAAAAGGAAAGCACCCAGAAGAATACACACTACTACATGTATGGTTTTATTCTATGAAGAAAAGACAGTCACTCTTTCTGAACTAATTTGGATGCTCAGTAAAAGTGATGACCCCCTGACATAAAAGTAACTTTAGGGAAATGGCAATATAAACTTTGTGGAACATATAATACATATTTATTATATTAAGATAATCTTTTGCATTTCTATACTAACACGCCGTTGAAACCTTCCTTTGCCACTCTGAAATGTAATATTGAAAAACAGCAGCCCTGGTCAAAGGTCTTGCTTATATGGGAGAATAATACTTCCTTCCTTCTGCTTTATATGGTACAAAATATAACATGGATCTTTCTCATGGAAACTTGATCATATCTGCAGAGACACTATCAGCAAAACATTTCTCCTCAAAAAATATGAGGAGTTGAGATTAGACAGTGCAATTTGATTTTTAAACTACATCAGTATATGTTTGGAAAAATTATATGCTATGCCTGTTCCATAGCATATAATTTTTATTATTTTGGGGAAGAAATTTCCATCAACAATAGAAGAAGAGGCAATGCTTCTGAATTTAAAACTGCAGGTAAGGGCTGATATGTCTGACCATCTTCCCTAGCATACCATCTGATGAAGTAGTAGTAGTAGTAGTAGTAGTTATTATTATTTTTATTTATACCCCACTTTTCTA